TGTGTGGATGTCCGAGGGAAGATCTGTCCCTCTTGGAAGAGTACAATCTGATCTCTGTGGGAGCCTTGCTCTGCAGATTCCGTCCTGGACTTCCTAATGGTTTCCTAACTGAACGTGACAGCATCAGCCCCGTACCTCTTTCAATTGTGTGATTTTTGCAGTCACCGCAAAACTTTCCAGCCATTTCCAAGGACAGACTTGTCTCCTCTGTAAGGGGAGAAGACAGAAGAACAACAAACACCCTGATAAGCCAATGTACCTGCGAGCTTCCTGTTCCTGCCCAGAGACAGGTCAGAGTGGCCCTGGCGAATATTAGATTAAGGAGAAAATTGCCTTAGGAATGGGGTAATTGCATCTGAACTGCATAGCTTCGAGAGGTCTCTCATTTGGGCTTAAACAAGAGAACATCTGTTCTTTTAAGCTCAACTAGACAGGCTGTTCCTGTACCTGATACATACAAGCTACGGCTCAGGCAGCAAATCACAAAAATGCACAGAGGATGGAGAAACGAAGCCATCAAATTGAGTGCACGGAGCTGGCTGTGCTTAGCATCCTCTGAAAAGCACGGCTGGCTCCAAGGCAGCAGGACTGGCCTCTGCAAAGGTGATAATTTCAGCTCCATCACACAACTGGCCTCTGCAGAGAGGTGTGCTTTCAACACTCCCCGAGCTAGAAGGCCAGTGGGGTGCTGGGGGATAAGTACTCTGGGGCTACCTCGGGCTCAGGGGCTAACCTGGTTGAAACAAACCTTGCATGTTGCAAGGCTGCTCCAGTAATGAACTTAGTGACATACCTCATCTAGTGCTATTTTTACCCATCCATCCATTCGTCTGTCCCTCCCTCCCTCCCTCTCTCCCTCCCTCCTTCTCTCCCTTCCTCCCTTCCTTTTGTTGTTATTTTCTTTATAAGTGAACTTGTAGGAGCCAGTTCTCTCCTTCCATTGGTGGGTCCAGGGGATTGAACTCAGGTCTTCAGGCTTGGCCTTAAGTGCCTTTACCCTTTGAGGCATTTAACCTGCCCTTCATTCATATCTGGAACAAGTCAAATGTTGTATCACCCAGCCAAGGTAAAGGGGTAAGACCAGCCTCAACTCAGAGCCTAAAAAAAAGGTTGTCATGGGAACTAATGGCAGATGGTCCACAGCTGCTTCCTGTGTGAGTCAGGGCAGTTTGTATCCCAGCATCTGGATTATAACAGCATTATTCCTCACTATCCAAGTCCCACGTGTGCCGTGTGAGAGGCCCTGGGTTTGGTTCCATGAAGCTGGTGAATACATGGGGTAGAGTTAAAGGTGTGTGTCCAAGCAGCTTGCACTGCTGTGGGGTTTGGAGTAAGATTCAGTGGGCATAACAGTGGCCATAATGGGTGTGGCTGTGTGTCGCTCGAGCAACACTTGTGTGCAGACCACTGGTTGGTCCCTGGGCAAAGGCGCCTGTAGAAGAGAGCATGACACTCCCCAGGGTGTACACGCTGAAGGGAGCCGCAGAACATTCTGGCCCAGTGCGAGTCGTCTGAGATTCCACAGATACCTCCCAAGCCCGTGAGCTTCTGGCAGCTGGGTTTTAGTGGAGCCGAATCTCCTCCCAGATGTTGTTTCGCTCAACAGATAAATGCCTAAGGTATGTGACCAGGCAGACACTTAGTGATGAGAGCAGCCCCTGCCACAAGGGCGTGAGGAAAGGAAATGGCTTTGATCTCTCAATGGGAGTTTGAGGGAAATGCATGAAGGTGTGGAGCGTGGCCCTGGCCCTTTTCAGCCTCGTTCATATTCCTCGTTTATACATTATCTCTTACATTGTTTGTCTTTTATCCTTCCGAGCACAAAGATGAAAGGTGTGAGTTCTGTCTTTCTGCCCACCTCCCTGCTAAGCAGGGTCTCCATCTAGTTAAGGACACTGCCCTAGAATCAGTGCGTGGCTCTGCCAGACCCTGGCCCCGACAGTGTATAGCCTTTCTATTTACGAAGGGCCATGGGAGGACCAGGGTGTGTAACGTGTCCCCATGAGGCCCTGCTGCTGCTTCAAACCCAAATGAACCCATGGACACTGTATTAACTATTAAACTGTTGGCTGATGACTAGGGCTTCTTATTGGCTAGCTCTGTCTTAATTATTAACCCATTTCTGTCAATCTATGTATTGCCACATGGTCTTATCTTACTGGAGAAGAGCCCGGGCCTGTTACTCCTTTCTCCACTCCATGGCACCTGCTAAGTGTATCTGCAGAAAAGAGAGAAATTTCCTGTTTGTCCCTGCTCATACCCTGATTCTGCCCAGCTACATCACTTCCTGTCTGGCCAATCAGCCAATCAGTGTTTTATGCATTAACCAATAAGGGAATCGTGTACACAGAAGAACATTCCCTATCAAGGGTGACTTGGAACCCCCTGAGAGTCATCCCGGACTTGATAGCCACTCTCTCAATCTTTTCTTATCTTCCTCAACCCCTTGCTCTCTTCCTGCCTGCTCCTTTTCAACTCCATGGACTTGAGTGGACGGAGAAGCTCCTGCCCGCGGCAGTCTCCTGGTCCCACCACACACCCTGTGGCTGTGGACGGAATCAGAAGGTGGCTTTTCTCTCACTTGTCCCTTGCCACAAATGGCCACTTCCCCAGTAGCATCTTATTCCAAACCACCCACAGGGAGGGCCTGAATCTGGGAGCCTGGCCACACTTTCCATGGCCTCCGCTTGAGCCCCACGCCTAGACGCTCATGAGCCAGGAAGTATGTGGGAGAGACATTCGCAGGAAGAAAGCAACGTATCCTTGCTTCTACCTGAGGACGCCACTTGCTTCTAAGGTGGCAGAGAAGGGTTGCCACCCTCCTGACAGATTTCTTTCCTCTTCCTTGATGGACGTCTGCACTCTCCAGGGTGAGGTTGGGTGGGACTCAGGTGGACCCCAATCAAGGTAACAGTGAACTCAGCAAATTCAGGACTGAACACTCCAGGAGTCTCACGGCCAGTGGGAATATGTCTCTGCTGACCTTCCTGGAAATAGGAGAGGGCGTGTAATAAGAGGCGACCCAGAACTTCCCTCACTGACTACAAAATGAGGTCACAGGAAGCCAGGGTGAAAAGGAGGACACGAAGAGAACTGATTCATCTAGACACAGAAAGCCCTTGTGGAGGTGTCGGGATGCAGACCGAGAACCAGGCTGAGTTAGATGGGGGCAGGTGGGGTAACCTCTCCAAAGTGAAGGGAAGGAGAGGCTGAACGAGCCCACGAGAGGACACACAGGCCCCCATGTGACAGACACTTCTACAGCCTGATCTGTGTCTCACGTCCCTTGCCTTGCGCGAAAATAACTGATGCCAGCCCCGACCCTTGCTTTGGCTCCCACTCTCCATGTGGTGACAATCACGTCCACTCGTGCCCCCTTCCATCCTCCTCTTCAGTGTTTTCATGGTTCTATTGTTGCTAGGCAGCTGTGCTCGGCCCTGTGACTGCTGGGAAGCAGCTAGAGAAACCGCCCTCCACACCTGTGCAGTGTTTACGTGTGAGCAGGGCACACGGGAGCAAAGCCAACATCCGGGCGACTCCACGGAGGGAGCCAAATGCAGCCTTCCTACACCGGAACCAGACAGCCACTTTGGGACACGTAGGGTGTGCAAAGTGGCCATGCTGTGACCCTGGGGAAGTCCTCAAGGCAGCGGGGGGGGGGGGGGCAATATGGATACAGAAAAATGGACGGGATGCAGGCACTGAGGGTTTCTGGGAATGTCACCTATCCATAAGCTTCCTTAATTTCCCTCGCCTTTGCAAAACAGAGCACCCCAAACTTTCACCGCTTTTCAGAACAGAGCTTTCACCTCTGTGTACCCTGCAGGCTCCCGTGTTTGTCTGTGTCAGAGCCTGTAGAGCTCGGTCCCCCACCGTCACCCTCCTCCCTGTAGCCCTCCACCCCCCAGATCCCACAGCCGGTCCTCCACGGTGACACGCGTTTTAGTGGCTGCCGTCCGTGGTCAGCACAGCAGATCAGATCAAGGCGCAGACTCCGCCTTGCTCTATTCTTTTCCCTGTGGCATCAGTCGTGTTCTGTTGCCGTGATGAACACCGTGACTGAAGGCAGCTCGGGGAGGAAGGGGTTTATTTCGGCTTGCGGATTTACATGTCGTAGTCTACCATCAAGGGAAGTCAGGGAAGGAAGCCAGAAGCAGAAACTGGTGTAGAGGCCAGGCAGGATACCTGCTTAATAAACCCCAGGCCCACCTACCCAGTGATAGCCCAACCCCCACAGCGGGCTGAGGCCCCCACATCAACCGCTAATTCGAAAAATGTTCCACGCACTTGTCTACAGGGAACCAGTCTAGGTACACTTTTCTCAGGGGACCCTAGCTTGAGTCGAGTTGACAAACAGCTAACCCTTACGCTTGCTTCTCCCTCCCCTGAGGTGCCTATCTGTCAGCCTTCCAGTAAGTTCCAAGGCCAGTCTTTCTTCTTTGCCTGGTCTTCTCTCTCCATCATTGTGTCTGTAGGGTGGGGGTTAAAAAGGGAACCGGTGTTTTGCAAACATTATTTCTGCTTTATAATGACCCTAAAGCGATGCACTTCATAAGCTCTTAAAGTGAGAAAAACACTTCTCCGAAACGCAATCTCCATCCAGGAAATTATTATTGAGATAATTAAAATTTTTGTTTTGGATTTGCATTGCCCTGATGACTAAGGATATTGAGCATTTTTTCTTTTTTTTCCATTTTTAAATTTAAGTTAGAAATAACTTTGTTTCACATGTCAATCCCAGCTCTCCCTCCCTTCTCCCCATCCCTCCCCACCAAGACCCCCAGTCCCCCACCCAAATCACTCTGATCTCCAGGTAGAGTGAGGCCCTCCATGGTGGATCTCCAGAGAGGTACTTAAATTTTTAAGGGGTTTCAGAGGCAAAAAAAAAAAAAAAAAAAGAAAAGAAAAATAGAACTTTCACTTTAACCGCAGAACTTTCTTTGAGAGTAAAAGAAGTCAATAGTCAACAAACAGAAACAAATTCACAGGAACTCTTGGGGTCAGAAAAGACAGCTTAATTTAATTAACTTGTATTTTCCTAAGAAAACAATTCAGCTCCCTCCTCATTTCCTTTGAAAACTGTTATTTTAAAACTTCTACATGAAAAAACAAATCCCCACTCTATGAAATAGGATGTCAGAGTTGTCCTTTAAACTCTAATGAGCACCAACCTGCAGGACAGAGGTATTCGCCTGTGACCTCACTTCCCTCCTTCCTTCCTAGGACCTCCCACGTTCCTGGCTTTTCTCTGTGCCGTTAACTTTGACCTGTGTCCCTCTTAAAACACAGAGACCTCAAAGAACCCCAGCGTGGTGTGGCTTTTCCACTTGGAATTCTGTTTGGCATTGGGTTTCTGTTGGCTTTATTCCATCACACACACGGCGTTGAGATCTGAGGAGAGATCTGTGCTTAGCAACTTGACATGGAGAAGGCTTGTAATACCCATGCAGGAGGCATTCTCAGGATCCTCGAAACCCACTCTTAGAGATGGGCAAAGTAGGAAGTGCACATCCAGAAGGAAAGAAGGTAGGGTAGACAGACAGTGACACACTGTCCAAGAAAGCAGGGGTGCGCGGAGTCTCCAACGCATCTTCAGATGTGAGGCTCGTGGGAGCACTGAATACAGAGCACTGTAACAGAAGATACTCAGTTTCCTAAGATGGCCATTCCTGCTCTGCTCCATCTTCAGAAGGTCATGGCAATGGAGGAACCAGCAGCCAGAGGTAGTCATCTGCAAACTGGGAGGTGAGGAGGATTCACAGACAGCTGTCCCTGTCCCTGGCCACACCCTACCCGAAACTCCACTTTGTCCTCCGTTGCACACTCTCCCCATGCTCTCCCATGAGTGAGTCTCACTTGCACACTCCCCCATGCTCTCCCTTGAGTCTCAGTTGCACACTCCCCCATGCTCTCCCATGAGTCTCAGTTGCACACTCTCCCCATGCTCTCCCATGAGTGAGTCTCACTTGCACACTCCCCCATGCTCTCCCTTGAGTCTCAGTTGCACACTCCCCCATGCTCTCCCATGAGTCTCAGTTGCACACTCTCCCCATGCTCTCCCTTGAGTGAGTCTCACTTGCACACTTACCCCATGCTTTCCCATGAGTCTCAGTTGCACACTTACCCCATGCTCTCCCATGAGTCTCAGTTGCACACTCTCCCCATGCTCTCCCTGGAGTGAGTCTCACTTGCACACTTACCCCATGCTCTCCCATGAGTCTCAGTTGCACACTCTCCCCATGCTCTCCCATGAGTCTCAGTTGCACACTTACCCCATGCTCTCCCGTGAGTCTCAGTTGCACACTCTCCCCATGCTCTCCCTTGAGTCTCAGTTGCACACTTACCCCATGCTCTCCCTTGAGTGAGTCTCAGTTGCACACTTACCCCATGCTCTCCCATGAGTCTCAGTTGCACACTTACCCCATGCTCTCCCATGAGTCTCAGTTGCACACTTACCCCATGCTCTCCCATGAGTCTCAGTTGCACACTTACCCCATGCTCTCCCATGAGTCTCAGTTGCACACTTACCCCATGCTCCCCGTGAGTCTCAGTTGCACACTCTCCCCATGCTCTCCCATGAGTCTCAGTTGCACACTTACCCCATGCTCTCCCTTGAGTGAGTCTCAGTTGCACACTTACCCCATGCTCTCCCATGAGTCTCAGTTGCACACTTACCCCATGCTCTCCCATGAGTCTCAGTTGCACACTTACCCCATGCTTTCCCATGAGTCTCAGTTGCACACTCCCCCCATGCTTTCCCATGAGTCTCAGTTGCACACTTACCCCATGCTCTCCCGTGAGTCTCACTTGCACACTCTCCCCATGCTCTCCCATGAGTCTTGGCTGCACAGTCTCCCTGATGTTTCCCCCTGAGCCTCGTCCACTGAACTGACTGACTTTCCCAGCATCCCCCATCTCCACACAGGTCTCTACCATGGTCCAGTTTCTTGGCCTTATCTTTGCTCAAACCCCACTCTGTCCCCATCTGCTGATGCTTGCACCATCAGATATGCTGGCTCCTTTTGCATGCCTCTTGCTCACAGGCTCTGTCAAAACCAAGTCCTACTGGTCCCCCACAGACCACTCTATCCTTACATGCTGGGTCCACCATTTAAACTCCTCTCCGGGGCCTGGCTTCTTGCCTCCTTTCTCACAACCACTTCAGCCTCCTCCACGTTCCTGGGAGAGGGATGCAGATGTCCACTCTCTTGTTCTGCAGTGTATCGTCGTTCATAGACTAATGAGGGAACTCGCAACCACAATTCTAGATAGTCACAATCGTCCCCCTGTCCCAGACCAGGGAGATGAGAAGAGCAGGCTAGCCAGGGGGTGTCTCTTATTTATAGTCAGTTGACCTCCAATAGAGAGCACGTGAGAGCTTGTATACAGGGCCTTCAGGAGAAAGAGGTGCCCCGCCTGGGAACCACAGTGCAGAAGTATGGATACTAGTCCTGTCTGATCGCACCTGTGCTCTGGACCAATGACAACTGTAGGTGCATTCCCCCCCCAGGGAAGACATGCCCAACCCAGTGAAGACATGTAATCACGTACGTCTTCTATTGAAGAGACATCATCGTAAGTGACACTCGCGCTGCACAAGGCACAGCTTTTTAAATCACAGGAGAGCGGTCCTCACCACACTGCCTCAGATGACGTTTTTTGTCTTTTCGACTGAAACATCAGGATCACTCATTCCCAGTGTCAGAAGGACAATCTAAAGAGAGAAAAGCAACAAGTGCAATACTGTTCATTCTGAGTCGTTACTACGGAGTTCAGACACTTGGACTGCATCAACTGCGTTCTTGGTTACAATTAACAGAGTTCCAAAATGGAATGGGGTTAATTATCAGCGGGAATAAAGAGGACTTCAGTTATCTCGTTTCACTGTGTGGTCCCCTCTATGCCTGGACTTTTGTGGGGGGCACGAGTTGATCTGCATTAAATGAGGCTTCTGCTTGGCTGTTAACAGGGCCCCCAGTCACCCAGAGGTCAGCAAACCAAGGACCCTGCCCCCACATGTCCAGTCTGATGACAGTCCCTGTTGAGCGTCTGCAGCCCATGGCCTGTTTTTTTCTGCTCTGGGACTGTCTAGGTCAGGCTCCTAGGTCACGGCTGCAGCTTAGCAATGTCAGGAGAGAGGCTAGCTCCACAGTCAGGTGACCCTGGATTCATTCCAGCTTAGCAGACCATCACGCTTCTACAACTCTCTGCCAGGGCTGTACATTAGGTGACTTGCAAAGCAGAACTTCCGTCTTACATATCCGAAGCCACGCATCCAACATGGAGTTGCCAGCTCAGTCATGCTACCCTGAAACTGGGTGGGCTAGGGGAATGAAGAGCTTATTGTAGTATGTGTCAGTTTTTCTGCATGCTTTGCATGGAACACTGGAGTACTGTGTCACAATTAACTACAAGTACGCGATTCGAGTTTCTGTACTGAACTTCCATAAGCTTGGACTTCCATAAGCTTGTAGAGCTGTTGAGCGGGAGAATCGTGAAGTTTGAGTGCAATAAGATACAAGTGTAGTGTTCTTTGTTTATTCCTTCTGTTTCTCCTCTACTCTCTTCCCTTCCCCCTTCCTTTGGTGCCATTTTACTTATGTGTCCAATTAAACAGAGTATAAAAATTGGAATAACTTTAATGGCCAATATAATTTTGAAATGTTTGAAAGAACTATAGAAAACCACTCCATTGCTGTGAGTCTCAATTAGGGAGTGGAACTCAAATGCTCGGAGATAAATGCTAAAAATAGAAATGTCCAATGGGAATTTAAAATACTTAATACTCACGTATGGGAATTCTGCTTGCCTCTCTCCCTTGAAATGAGAATGGCCACTGTTTTAATATTTCTTTACTGCAAACTGAATTTATCCTCAAGTAGAAATTTAAAAGGTGTTTGGATTTTATTTTTAAAGATGGTTTCTTTTTATAAGGCCAAGACAAATATTTAAATGTCAACTAATAGATTACTTTTCATCCTTTTCCAATTTTGTATAAATAAATGATCTGTGTCACTGTGTGGCAGTGCTACATATAGATTGAAAAAAAACATAGCTGACCCACTTTAAGAATACTTTTCTCCATAGAAGATAACCGATTGTTCACTCTTGGCTGGTATGTGCCTAGTGGATGAGATATTTGGGGATTTCCAGATAAAAGAATCTGAGAAATGATGTGATCGGTCAGCCCTGTTGAATTTGGCCATCTGTTGACAGTCATTTGTTCTTATGCTTGTTCCCTGACAGATACGAGTCACTGGCTTCTGTTCTTCTGGGAGAGAAGAAGGGTCAGTCTGCTGAGGAGAGATGTCGGCTTGTTCTCCAGCGCTGTAAATTACAAGGCTGGCAGGTTGGTGGCCGACAGACTGTGGAAATAGAAGGCTAGAGCTTTAAAAGCATGAGTCACGACACTAGCCACCAGCCTTCCTGGCAAAAACAAATCCCCTTAATGTGTTTGGCAAGGCACAGCACTGTGTGTGTTTGGTGGAAACATGTCATTCTGTGTGACTTGCGGGTTTTAGCACCATGGAGGCAATGTAAGAGGCATCCCACGTTTACAGCCACACAGAGAAGTGGCTTAGCTCAGGTCAGCGTGCTCCATTCACATCTGGTCATTAGCACTTCGTAAAGTATCTACTGTGTAGCCAAGTTAGTTACCTTTCCATCTCTGTGACAAAGTATCTAAGATAGACAGAAGACAAAGAGAAAAGGTTCCCTTGTAATCACAGCTCCGGTCCATGGCCCATGGATGCCGTTGTGTTTGGGCTCGTGGCAGACTCAGTTTCACACAGCAGTGTACATGCCTGAACAGGGACATTCAGATCATGGCATGGAGGAAAAAGACGGGAAGGGGGGGAAGGGAGGGGAGAGCACAGCTGTTCTTCTGATGACATTCAGGAAGAAGAGGAGGGGAAGGGAGGGGAGAGGGAGAAAAAAGGAGACCCCCAGTGCCATCTACTTCAAAGGCACACTCCCACTCACCTATGTGGCGATATATTTTTTTGTGATTTATTAAAGCTTGCCTGAGGGTACAGAAAGCAAAGCCAGCCACAAGCCATAAAGTCAGGCAGTGGTGGCACACACCTTTAATCCCAGGACTCAGAAGACAGGCAGATGGATATCTCTGAGTTCAAGGCCACCCTGGCCTACACAAGAGTGAAGAGTAACAGAGCTCATGCCTTGGGATCACACGCCTTTAACCCCAGCACTAGGGAGATGGAGACAGGAGTGATGTGGCTGGGTGGAGAAAGAACTACGAGGAGGAGGAGACAGGAGCTGAGAGCTTTTGCCTCTGAGGATTCATGGAGACAGGGTTGCAATTTCAGCTGGGTAGATGTGAGATCTACCGGCTTGGCTGCTTTGCTTCTCTGATCTGCAGCTTGAAGCTTGAACCCCAATATCAGTCTCGGGGTCTTTTATTATTTGTGTTACAGACTTTACTTCCCCTTCAGCTTTTAGTGGATCACTCACTCTCAATAGCCACAGGCTATAAACCAAGCCTTCAACGCTTGAGCATTTAGGAGACATACTCCAGATCCAAACTGTAAGAGGAGCAGAATGCAGAAAACCCAGAGTAGGGAAATAATGTTGAGTGAACCAAAATCTTTGCGTTAGGCCCGGGCTCAGGAGGCTAGAGAAGCTGCTCGCGACTTCAGTTTCTCTTTGCTGTCCCTCACTGACCTCGCAGTGGAACGGACACTGTCTCTGAGCACTAACAAGGGGACAATTTCTGAGTCCCAGAGCTCCTCACTGTCTGCCATCTGGGTCAGGAGCCCATGGAAGCTGTCACTAAGCCAGTACAGGGACAAAACAACTTAGGGCAAACTAGCATGGGGAGCCCCCACTAGAGATGGAATGGCAGCTGAAATGACATAAGGAGCATCCTTGGCTAGCTTCAGGAAGGAGGAGGAGAGTGGAGGGCACAGGTGGCACGGAGCATGGCAAGTGGGCGGGGTCCCGGGGAGGCATACTCTACTGGAAAACAACCACGGCCGTCACTCAGGTTGAAAAGTTGACCGCTCATCTCCGAGTAGAAGAGCATGGCCCTTGACGAGGGTGACTATGGTAACGCTGCCGCGTCAGAAGTGGAGGGGGCAGATGGCGCCCTGTACCAGAATGCGTCTGAGAGCTGCACAGCCTACATGCTACGTCGGCGGAAGCTGGCGCGTCCCGGGTACACACTCACCTATGACCTAGAACAAAGAGCACAGGGCTCAGGCACAGAGGCGGGGCGGCACCGTCCGCCCTCCGCACCACCCACGCTCTCCCTTTGTTTTCTTCCTCCCTTTTCTTCTTTTTTAGTCTTGATGGAAGTTGGACTCTTAAGTCTCAGTCTGAGGGAGGACGCTTACTCACGCTGGGTTGTCATGGTTGCACATCAGTGCTGAGAATGGATTTTAAAAGGAAGGAATTACTAACCAAGAGTGATGTCAGCTCCCCATCCTGGAGCCTGAGACGTCATGATGTGGGCTCCACAGAGAATATGGTTTAGCGAGATCATAGGGAGCTGAGGTCATTTCTGCTTAATCATTGCTGGGGTTTTTAAGTAGGCAGAGTAGTGGTTTAAGAATAGCGTGATGTCAGAGGTCTCAGGGAGTGTGATTTTCCTCAAAGGAACACGCACTCTGTGTGTGTGTGTGTGTGTGTGTGTGTGTGTGTCCTGTGTGTATGTGAGTGTGTGTGCCTGTGTGTGTCCTGTATGAGTGTGTGTCCTGCATGAGTGTGTCCTGTGTGTGTGAGTATCTGTGTGTGAGTGTGTGTGTGTCCTGTGTGAATGTGTGTGTGTGTCCTGTGTGTGTATGTGTGTGTGAGAGAGAGACAGAGACAGAGAGACTGTGTGTGTTGAAATGCCAAGAGAATATGAAATACTTCTCCCAGTCGGGTAGTGAGCATCAATGCTAACACCAGTCAGGATTCCCAATGTATAAGATGGTGCCAATCATGGGAGGAGGCTGGGGGTGCACACAGATGTTCACTGGTAGGCATCTGTCTTTGCAAGTCTGTGTCCAGGAAGTAATTCTTGAAACACTAGCTGAGGATGGTATTAAACCGAAACATGCATTGGTATTTCTAAAGCAAAAAGCAAATGCATTTTAAATAAGGAGGGGTTTTCACTTCATTACACAAATCTAGTTTATCTTCACTTAAAAAAGGAGGTGTTTATTTTTGTGGTATGTATATTTGTGAGTGCCTGCGTGTATGGGCACCTTGTTCATGTCTGGTGCTAACAGAGGCCACTGGAACATCTCCTGAGACTAGAATTACAGATAGTTGTGAGCCACCATGTGGGTGTTAGAGCCCAAACCCAGATCCTCTGCGAGAGCAGCAACTGTTCTTAACTGCTGAGCCATCTCATCAGCCCCTCCCGATGTTTTCTTCCCAGACAACAAAGTTGAAAAATACAAAAGGGGGGGACAAGGGGAGGGGTGTGTGTAGATTTCCCCCCAAGTATATCTGCTAATGAGTTCTGTGTTCTCAGTTAGGGCAGACTGATATTCACCAGCTTTGTCAAGGTGGCATCATTTAGACTTTCCATGCTACAAGCTGACTTTGCAGAAATACCTATGCTTACTTATTCATATTTGACTCCTAAGTTAAACCAAAACCAATTTGTGTTAAAAACTCAATTATTTCTGATATGGACAGTCAGAGTCCTCTGTTTCAAAAGCAAAGCGACAGTTTGAAATGTGCCATTACAAGAAGTTCTGCCC